CCAGAATGAGGTTGGTGACTGTCCTCTTCTAACACTAATATTGTGATGTCCTGGAGCAACAGACACAACATGCACATACGCATCCTGTCTTTTTTTAATATCAAGTTCAGAACATGCTGTAAGATCTAAGGGAAACATGGATCCTACTGCCATCTTAAAAGATGCACATAAGCAACTCTTGAAGCAATAGGTTGGTTTCTCTGAGTCTTGGTTTATATAAACATGATTTATTAAGCAAACTGCTGTTGGCTGTGTTAATGTACTACTCTAAAAACAGACAAACAAACAATATTACGATTTAGCCTCTTATCTGAACCCAATCTTATCAGTATAGTATATTATTGTTTGTTTGAGTAGGCATAATGTTTAAACTGAGCTTTAACTCTGGACCTGTCCTGCTTCGATCCCAACTTTTGTTGAGATTATATCAGAATGGACAAATTTGGAGGAAACGGTTTTGCTTTTATTTTATTTTTTTAAAACCAGAACCTGAAATCTAGCAGCAGGAACTGGGGACAAAAGACCTCTGCTATCCCTAAAGTTCAGCATGTAATATCTTCTTTCTGGGTAGAATCCACTGTCCTTCTGCATAAAACACTGCTAGTGCTTGCTGCAACTTTTTGGGGGGTTTAATGGTGTTCTGACCTAGGCTTCCCAAAAGTATGAAGCTGACTCCTCATCCTGATAAAACCCCTTTTATTTAGAATAGAATAGAATAGCAGAGTTGGAAGGGACTTTGGAGATCTTCTAGTCCAGTGTTTTTCAACCACTGTGCCGCGGCACACTAGTGTGCCGTGACATAGTGTAAGGTGTGCCGTGGGAAAATTACNGAATAATAATGGGCAGCTTTTTAGACTTTTTCCCATCCAGTCTCTCAACCTCCAACCTCCCAAATATAGCTAACCTTAGAAGATGGAAGAAGCGACACAGTAAGACGCTGAGCTTGTTGATCAGAAAGGTTGGCAGTTCGGCGGTTCGAATCCCTAGTGCCACATAACGGAGTGAGCTCCTGTTACTTGCCCCAGCTTCTGCCAACCTAGCAGTTCGAAAGCATGTAAAAATTCAAGTAGAAAAAATAGGAACCACCTTTGGTGGGAAAATAACAGCGCTCCATGCTCCTTCGGCGTTTAGTCATGCCGGCCACATGATCACGGAGACGTATTTGGACAGCGTTTACTCTTCTGCTTTGAAACGGAGATGAGCACCGCCCCCTAGAGTCAGGAATTACTACAAGAGATGTGTGAGGGGAACCTTTACCTTATTACTGAATATTCTCTGTCAGGTTACTGTTTCCACTCTGTCATTTTTAGAGTAGATGGTCTTCACTCAATGAAGCCTATGTTGAATGACTCTTGCATAGTTGGTAGGGATTATTTTTGAGATATAAATTGTCTTTTGAATATCTCTAATACTGAGTATTCTCTGTCAGCTATTGCTTCAACTTGGTCATTTCTAGAGTAGATGGTCTTCACTCAACCAAGCTTCTGTGGAATGACTCTCACATAATTGGTAGGGATGCAAATTTCAGTGGTTACAAGCTAAGAAACAGTGGCAGATTCAGACCTGTTCCTCTAAAGTTATTTCCAGCCATTCTCAGCTTTACTGCTTACCAAGTAGCTTTCCTCACTTGTTGTCTGCTTGGGTTGTTGGTCTTTCAAATATATATATTTTTTAACTTTCAAGTATTCTTGGATTGTTCTTCTGAGTATGGCTATGGCTTTGGAGACTCGGGAATGCTAGGGAAGGGGAAAAAAATGTGCACAAGAGTAAACATAGAGTGGATGTTAAAGCAGTCCAATGCCATGCTATGTCGACTTGAAATGAAGCCCATGAAATTTCATGAGGTTCCTTTCTTGCTAAGCACGCGTCAAAGAAGCACTGTGGCTTTAGACCGATCAGTTGCAACACGGGTGACTACCCCGTGTTGTTGTTTTTTTTCCAATTCTGACTACATGCCAGGAAAGCCAATAAGACTGCCTTGAGGGGCTACAGTCAGAGCTGTAGGTATGTGCTCAGCCTCTGATGGGGCTTCTGCCAAGAGAGAGACGGGGGAGGGAGGGAGAGACAGACAGACAGAGAGCAATCCTACATAATATTTTACTTGTATTTGCATGTATTACCTGGGGAGCTCAGAGCCTTTCCTCGTGAGCAGACTTACACCTGTCATCTTTTTTTTAATCTTCAACTATCCTCAGACATTGTGATCTCCAGAACGTAAAATATATTACCCTCTTAGCTTTCATTAGCCTCTGCTAACACCCTCAGAGTGTAAAAACTACAATTGAAGAGATATTTGCCTTTATACATCATGGATCAATTTGGCCATTGCGCCCTTGATAGGCAAACGGCTAGAATACAGAAGACGAGTTCTGGGCCCATCTTTTTTTGTGGGGGACTTAGTCATCCTAGGTCAGTCCTAGAAAGACGCAGGCCAGAACAAATCACGTCTGAAATCGAGTAAACTTCAGGGCGTCAGCACTGACTTGAAAGACCACTACCACCACCACCCTCAAAAATATAGGAAAGTGGTGTTGGTGTTTGTTATAGAAGGGCAGGCAGTTGTTTATGAAGAAGGTGACTGAGGCACGGTGGCGCAGTGGTTAGTGTGCAGTAGTGCAGGCTACTTCTACTGGTAAAATGGTTGGTAAAATGAGGAGCCAGATTGCTGGGGGGCAAGAGGCTGACTCTGTAAACTGCTTAGAGAGGACCGTGAAGCACCGCGAAGCGGTATGTAAATCTAAGTCAATGGTAGTCAACCTGGTCCCTACCGCCCACTAGTGGGGGTTCCAGCTTTCATGGTGGGCGGTAGGGGTTTGCTGTAACTCTGCTTTATAAATTTTATAAAGTAAAATTACTTCCCTACTTTATAAATCACCATTTCTGTGGAACCCGTGGACGGTTAGAACATTTTACTACTAACAGAGGTACAAAAGTGGGCGGTAGGTATAAAAAGGTTGACTACCTCTGGTCTAAGCGCTATTGCTATTGCGGTAACTGATCATTTTTGTAATCCACATGCAAATAGGAGGTGGATCCTAAACAAAGTGTGGTCCTGAGGCCAGTTCCTTTTTTGGAGGGCTAATTTGACCAGGGCATAAAAATAATGAGAGCAGAATAAGGAGATGGTCCTCAACCCCTTCCATTTGGTCCAAAGTTGGAATATTCAGGTGTTATCTTGAATCTCCTGAGGAAAATCTAGGAGTTTCCAGATCATGACTTGGAAAACACAGACTAAAATGGATGGAAGGGAGAATTCATGCCCTTCCCTCAGTGATCTTTAGGCTGATCTTAACCTCTTCATTGTCTGGGGCAGAGGTCAGTAATCTGCAGCTCTTTTATCCCTCTGCCGCGGCTTCCTGTCGCTCCACAATTGATAGGGCTTTTGGTTAGGACTGGTAGGGTAAAAAGAATGCCGTGCTGGAGGAGACTCTATGGTGGGGGAAGCAGACTTCCAGTCGGCTTCAGAATTGAACAGGGGACTTCCGGGTAGGAAGCCTTTGTGGCCCTGTGATTGTTTAAGGTTGCCAATCCCTGGTCTGGGGATTGCAATTCCCAGGGTTTACCTGCCAACCTGATCTGTAGCTGATCTATAAGGGGGGGTTTTAAAAGTTGCAATCCCAACCTCATCTGGACATGAAAGCTTCTTTGAGGAGAAGCTTGGCCTGAAATACTCCCCCCCTTCAATTTAATATGCTTACGTATATGCTCCTATCATAAATATTATTTGTAAGGGGGTGTTGTATAATTCATAGTGGCCATGAGCTACTTATTTTGAATCACTTTACCAGCAACAATAACCAGGATTCCTCCTTCACCTGGCAAGTTTAGGGAGGTTCATGAAACATTTTTCTTTTTTTTTGCTTTTATTGGGGAGGAAAAATCCAAGTTTACAACAATGAAATCAACGCTACCGATATACAGTTGTCTCCAAACTGCATTCTCACTCATTCCAATTAAGCTGATGTTTTTCTTGAAATTCCACCTTCCTCTCTCTGTGGATAATATTATCACATACCCTTCACTCTTTATGGAAAACTTTCTTTGTGGTACATTGGTTTTAACGTTAGTTTTTTAAAAATTTTCTTGATTGAAAGAGTAATTTTGAAGAACTGAGGGAGCTACCTTGTCTTGAGGCAGTGGCTCAGGGGCTAAGACGCTGAGCTTGTTGATTAGAAAGGTTGGCAGTTCAGCGGTTTGAATCCCTAGCGCTGCATAACGGAGTGAGCTCCCATTATTTGCCCCAGCTTCTGCCAACCTAGCAGTTCGAAAGCATGCAAGTAGAAAAAATAGGGACCAACTTTGATGGGAAGGTAACAGCATTCCGTGTGCCTTCGGCATTTAGTCATGCTGGCCACATGACCACGGAGACGTCTTCGGACAGCACTGGCTCTTCGGCTTTGAAACGGAGATGAGCACCATCCCCTAGAGTTGGGAACGACTAGCACGTATGTGCGAGGGGAACCTTTACCTTTACCTTGTCTTGGATGCTATAGTTTTAAGGGTATGTAGGAGGAAAGTCAAGGTAGCCTTTCTTCTTCCTGGCACTAACCTCAACGTTTTACATTTGCAGCTCAGTTTTCACACTAAAGTAGAACCATCTCTTCTAGAAGTTCATAAAATCTGGTGATAGAACTCTCATGGTTTGAACTCGCAGGTTGTTTCTGTTTGAAACCCTGGATGTCTTCTGCCATATAATTCCCAGCTACAGTTCTGACTCAGGATAAGATCATTTATTATGCTCCTACATATTGATGGTCTAGGTGAGGAGGACTTATTGAAAGCAATGTCAGCATTGCCCCTAGGTGTCTGCAGCCAATGACTCACAGTTGACTTGGTGGACATTAAGTTGAAGGACAACTGCTTGCATCTTTGGCATATGGAACTCATTTCTTGATGATGTTGTCCCTGAATATATTCTTCCTGTGTGTGTCATTTTTGCATACACACAAAGAGAGCATTTTATGTTATGAATGTCCTCTGTACACTTTTTTATTTTTTAGGAGAAAGATAAAGATAAAGAGAAACTGAAGGAACGGGATAAAGACACCAAGGAAAAAGACAAAGATAACAAGATACTAAATGGCCATCTCTTCAGTGCCATCTCAACCGTGGGTCCCATCAGTTGTTACCACTGTCTCAAGCCCTTCAACAAAGATTCATTCGTCTGTGCAAGTGAGTGACATTTCTTTTCCCTCCTGCTTTGCGCACTGGAATGAATAGGTAGTAGAATATGTTTCTGAAAATAATTATGTGCATGAAATTACCATCACTGAAATTACCATTAGGTCAAAAGATGATAGTTGTTCCAAGGTCATTTAGTGAGAATCTGAATTGTTTTAGCTTAGTACTATAGTAAATGATTTTACTATACTATCTGATCCTAATTAAGTGGGGTTTTACATAAACCTAGGATTTGGAATCATTGGATTAAAGTCTCTGCTGTAACAAGGACCACCACTGAAGACCTCAGCCTCCTCCTTTGCAAACTTACCCTGTTCTCCCCAAAATAAGACATTCCCAGATAATAAGCCCCGTCGGGCTTTTGAGTGCATGTGCTAAAATAAGCCCTCCCTTGAAAATAAGCCCTCCCTGAAAATATTGCAACACAGCAGCAGCCATGAGGTGAACATGCTCGTTGCCTCCTGCACCTTGCACCTCAAAAATAATAAGACCTCCCCAAAAATAAGGCCAAGTGCTTATTTTGGGGGTCAAAAGAAAATAAGACCATATCTTATTTTCAGGGAAAGAGGGTAGATACATTTCTAAATGCTTGTTATATAACTGCAGGGTCCAATTCAGGGAGACACCAGCAATCAATACCAAAGTAGATGCTGTCATCTTAATTTTCCCAGAAGGCTTCTGGGCCCTGCTGTGTGATCCTTTCATTTGGTTAATGAATGTCACATTAAATTTAGCTTCTGACAGTTTTCATCCAAAGTTTACATTAACATCCTCCTCTTGGTTTTCTTACCGCAGTTTGACTGAGCGGGTTAGTTAATTTAATTTCTGAAACGTCTTCATTTTTAGTGCTTTTGCTTTCATTTGGAAATTTAATCTTTTAATCCTTTAATGGATACATTTGTATGATCAGACGGTGTTAAAAAGAAATACTAAACTACCTGAAAGAGAAAAATGTGCCCAAAATGTTTTCATATTCCATTCAAGTTCTAGTAAAATACACCTGACATTACTACTATTGTTGTTAATGCCAGTAACAACATTTATCTGGTTGATTTCTGGCCATCAGTGTATGCAAAAAGGATGGAGGAAGTTCCTTGCACAATTCTGTTAAAGAATCCTGACCTTTCCTGGTTGTTAACAGAACTTATCAGTTGAATTCTGAAACAGAATCTCTCTATATATTCTGTTTAAGCAGCGCTATGCGTCTATATGTGAGTTGTGTTTCTGGATAATTGGTAATGACTCAATGAAGAATTTCCCCTCCATATGTGCCACTTCAGGTTTAGAAAACTGAAACCGAATCATGTTACCTTCAAGGACAAATTCCTGCTTTGGGAACCTGAAGTTGCCAGTTGACTAGTGTTGACTAAGGCGAAAATAAGAGTGAGCGTTAAAGGTTTTCTATTGCCCAACCACACAACTGTAGAAAGAGTCCAGCAATTTGCCTTCCTTTTGATAGGAGTAACCCCTTGAAGGCATTGGGACAGTATTGCAGTCTTACAAGTTGAAATGGTGCTTGAGATGCTTGTTGATTAATTGGTGCTAAGCTTGCAAATGCAGTTGAAGAGGATGGCTAGGATTAGAATGGGTACACTACAAATCCCATCAGCCAAGAGTATTGGCTGGTGAGGACTAGAAAGTAGTCCTTTTCCACGGTGGCCCCTGCTTTGTTGAACAGCTTCCTTTAGGAGATTAAAATGACCCCCAACTATGGATATTTTCAAACGCATATTTCCAAATGCTGGGAGAAGAGAAAAGGTTGCTCACTTTTATGACTTTTAGATATGCTTTTCAGCAATCTCTTTTTTTATTCTGGCTGCAAGAGCTGACCACTGCTTGTTCCAAAGAAATTCTTGGTGGAAATCTGATCAAGAATTTACAGGACTTAGCTAATAACTCAAGTTGTGGTGTGGTTTTTGTTTTTTTTTAAGTTTTAAAGATGGTAAAGAAAAATTTAAGCAAACTCCAATAAAGTCTAGGAAAAAGTATCTGTGTTTATCATTATTTGGGGTGGCTCAGTGGCTAAGATGCTGAGCTTGTCGATCAGAAAAATCAGCAGTCCGACGGTTCGAATCCCTAGTGCCGCATAATGGAGTGAGCTCCCATTACTTGTCCTACCTTCTACCAACCTAGCAGTTTGAAAGCATGTAAAAATGCAAGTAGAAAAACAGGATCCACCTTTGATGGGAAGGTAACAGTGTTCTGTGAGCCTTCAGCATTTAGTCATGCTGGCCACATGACCATAGAGACATCTTCAGACAGTGCTGGTTTTTTGGCTTCGAAATGGAGATGAGCACTGCCCCCTAGAGTCAGGAACGACTAGCACATATGAAAATATGTAGAAAAATTTAAGTGAGCTCAAAGAAAGTCCAGGAAAAAGTATCTGTCTTCAGGAATATGAACCCTCTATGACATCTAACCTTCTCGTTGGCTACACATTAAAAATTGTGCTCTTTGTTTTCCCCAGATTGTGGTGCCATTGTCCATAAAAGCTGCAAAGAAAGTGTGGCTGCTTGTGCTAAGGTCAAAATGAAAGTAAGTATTCTTCTGGGTGTTTTTTTTTTCTCTTCTTCTTCAATATATCCACATGCATGGATATGTGTGTACCGGTATATTTGAAAATGTACGATTGTAACTTGGGAAAGAAAAAAATACCCTCCAATTTTCATATATGCAGGCTCATTAGGGCTCTGAAATATCTTCAGTTTGTTGTTGTTTTCTTTAAAATAAATTTCTAGCCTTCTTGGTTGCAGGGAAAAAAAATGCAAGCAAACTACTGTTTCACTGTGGCTAGGACTTCCAGTAGATCAAGGTTAGTGCCAGGAATCCTGTATCTTATTCCATCTCGAGATGCAATAATCATCTGATTATTGCTATTTTATTTGTGATATCATTCTTTTCAAATCCTCTTCATAACTTCTGTGTGGTTCATTGTGATTATGGCACAACCAGGAGAAGGAAGAGATGTAAATTTATTTTCATTTATTTCATTTGGTGCCTGTGGGCTCTTCACCAGCTCCTTCTGTTGCAATAGCAATAGCAGTAGACTTATATACCGCTTCATAGGCCTTTCAGGCCTCTCTAAGCGGTTTACAGAGAGTCAGCATATTGCCCCCAACAATCTGGGTCCTCATTTTACCCACCTCGGAAGGATGGAAGGCTGAGTCAACCCTGAGCCGGTGAGATTTGAACCGCTGACCTGCTGATCTAGCAGTAGCCTGCAGTGCTGCATTTAACCACTGCGCCACCTTGGCTCTTGCAATCACTTACCGGAACTGTCCAACTTGAATTCTTCCTCTTTGCTACGATGATTTATTTGCAATAAATCTGTCGTAAGCCTAATTTGCTGAGGCCCGTCTATGTAAATGCTACTATAGGCAGATCTGATGTTGTATCTGGAGAAGAAAACATTCTTGAAGAACTGTAGGGGTTTTTTTTAGACCATTTAGGAGATGCATTTAAGACCCTCCAGAAATTTCTAGTATTTTGAAGGCTAGAAACTTTTAGATAGCAGAAATGTTATTTATTTATTTTTCAAAAATGCAAGTAAAGTTTTCAATTTAAGGTCACTTAAAACAATTTCCCATCTGTGTGGCAATTGTATAATTGTGTGAAGGCTTCAGTGTTGTGACCTAGGCTTCCCAAGAGCATGAAGCAAATTCATTGTCCTGACAAAAACCTATGTTATTAATTTACTGTGAATTGTGCTCATTCACATCCAGCATAGTCTTTCAAGGGAGGATTTATAGTCACAGACCTTATCTGGCTTGGAGAGCTGCCAGGCCGATATCTGAAAAACTTGGCAAGGAGCCTTGGAGAGAACCAATTAAGGGAACTAATTGTCTCCTGCAAACTCCACTCCCCTTTTGCTCCTCTTTTATTTCCTCTGGGAGGGGCCATTCATCAGCCACCTGTGGCCTTCCACCCAAGTCAAACACTGTTCTTTAGCTGTTCCCTTCATCTGGCAATTCTGTACATGTGCACACTGGGAACAGGCTCCAGCTGTTTGTCTGCCTCACTGATGTCCGACTCTGAAGGCAGCTGATAACTGGCATATGGTCCTGGCCCTCTCTCTGCCTCCGACGCAGAGCCCTCATCCGAGCCTTCCCCAGACTCCAGGACTGGCCCATGCTCCTCCCCAACCTCCTCACTGTCCGAATGTGCTGCCAGCTTTGCTGGCCACAACACTCAAGTTATTTGACACCCTCTAATATTTCAAAGGATTTTTCTTCTAAGTGGGAGTGAGATTTTAAAAAAACTCAATGCACACGTTTTGAATTCTCATACATGAGTCTGATAGGCTTTACCTTGGTGTCTGTAGCATGAACCAGTCATTGTGATTCATAAACCATGGTTGATGTCTTAATTTTTTTACATAAACCCACCACTCTGAAACCTTAGCTTATACTTAGCATGATGTGTGAGTGGAATTGATATTATAACTATGTTTTCTTCTAATCTTTTCTACTTCAGCTCCAGAAAAACCCAAGTGGTCTTCAGCCTCACGATACTTCTTCATTGCCCACAGTAATTATGAGAAATAAGAGTGAGTATCTCTTTTCCCCCCTCTCCTTGATGCAAGCTTGCAATTTGGTTGGGTATCCAGCTCATCTTTTATAATCATGCCCTGTTAAATTCAGATATTACAAAACAACTGGGGAAAAGAACATGCTTGTTTAAAAAACAAATCCTGACGTTGTAAACAAATTCCACAACTGAGGAGGATGATAAAGATGTTATCCATTCAGTCATGTCCGACTTTTGGTGATTCTATAGGCCGGGTTTCTTCCCATCTTCCCATCTTGCACTACTTCTTTGAGTTGTGCTATGTTCTGGCTGGCGTCAGATTTGATGGTTATATTCAGTATACTGAATTGGACCTGATCCCTCACTAAACCTCTTGCTGTATCTGCTGGTGTTTTCCTTGCAGGTTCTCAGCCAAAAGAGCGACCCAGATCAGCGATTCTTGCTCTTGATGAGAACATAACGACTTCAGTGTTCAATAGTAGGCGATCCCAGCAGAACCTGTCCCTTTCAAAGAGTGTTTCCATTCAGAACATTGCTGGGTAAGAACTTTTTCGTTTGCTGCCTTGCTTTTTGGGGATTCCATTTAAGACATGCGTGGTCAGTGGTGCTGAAGACTGAACAAGTGAATGAGAAGCCCATGAGGAAAAAGCCTATGGGAAGAAGATTCCAACTTCAGGGTTTAACTTTTCAACTTAAAAGATGATCCTGGATGAGAGGACTTGAGCAAGAGGTGTTATTGGTCTTGCTCAACATACAAAAGACCCCTTCCTCTGTTGACTGCACAAATGGCAGTGTGTTCATCGTAGTTCATCATGTATGTGTTTTATGCATATATGACATATATCTTTATATTGTAATTACATTGCATTTTTAAATCTTTGTTAACTGGCCAGAATCACATTAGTGAGATTAGTGGCTGTATCAATTGATTTAATTTAATTGATAGATTATGGATGGAAAGATGGATAGATGGATGGATGGATGGATGGATGGATGGATGGATGGATGGATGGATGGATGGATGGATGGA